TACGGGGTTCTGTGCGGCCCGCGGAAGCCTGCAGCAAATTAAAAAATAAAAAATAAAAAATAAAAAATAATTTTTAAATCAATAAATTTTTGTGAAAGTCAACATGTTTGTGCTTGAACCGAGGCTGACTTTTTCAGTGTCATACAGATTAGTGTTCTATTGTCTCTGGTTCGCTCTGCAATGCCATTTCAGCTAATTATGGTCCAGAGATGGCGCCGCGCCCTTGAGGCGAAACGCACGTATTATCTTAGAGCGCACCGCCCGATTTGCGGCCCTTTGACTTTTCATGGCCCACTGATGCGGCCCTCGCTTTGAAAAGTTCTCCCACCACTGCCTTAGCAGTATTGCTGATATATGAATATTTTTCAATTGTAAGAAGATTTCTCCAATTCATTTGTTTTAGTTGGCAGACAAAGTTTCACACGATACATTTCATCAACTTCATCCATGATGGCTCGTAAGTATAAGGAATTATTATTTGTGTTGCAGCTTTTGAATGGAGTTGGTTGCGTTTGTTCCATGTGCAAAAAATAGTTTTGTAACCACAAGTTTCACAACTTCAGTTAGATGCACTACCTGTCAGCGTGGCTGCGAGAACATGCCGTTTTAATACAAAAACTACTGTATACCCAAGAATATGTTTAATTTTGTTTCCACAGCAAGAACGTATCTGCATCTTAACATAAAGGATGATGTTGCCATTATTAATTTCAATGACCCTAATGCCAAGGTATGCATAGACATTTTATATTATTATATCATTGAAAGATAACTTTTTACTACTCAGAGTATGTCTAATGTATAGGAGTGTCTTAGAAGCTGAGAAATACTGTACATTAATCCATCAAGAATGTGGATTTGGGTGATTGATGGCTCTTGATGATAGACGCTTATGATATGTCCATTTTCGGTATCTGCGAGTTGCGTACATATTTATATGAATCGTTGTTGCCGCCCAGGTAAATTCGCTCAACAGGACTGTGATGGCGGAGTTCGAGGAAGTAATGGCTGAAGTGCAGGGCAACAGTCAGGTGAAGAGTGCTGTGTTGATCTCGTCCAAGCCCGGCACCTTCATCGCCGGTGCTGACATCAAGTGAGTAAACGAACGTATATTGTCGTCTTTGCTTCGGTGCTCGCATCCCGTGTGTCTCTCATCTTCAGAAGTTCAATTTTGCATGGAAAAAAAGTGTGGCACCTTAACACGTGCAAGAAAGCTGTCAATTTTTAACTTTCCGACTGTATAATTTAGTCTCACGTGTTCTCAGTAGGACCTGGTACTAATCGACAGTGTGAATGCTTATAGTATTAACACAGCCTGCCATGGCATGACAGTTACGTGAGTGCTTCTCACTGCAGCATGCTGGCTTCATGCAAGGACGAGGAGGAACTATTCAACATCTCACGAAGTGGCCAGAAGGTTCTTGAATCGATAGAGAAGAGCTCGAAACCCGTAGTGGCTGCTATCCAAGGTGCCTGTCTGGGAGGGGGGCTTGAGGTAATTGTGTGGATTTTTGAATGTTCTTCTCTTTGGTTAGGTATCTGACTCTGAGTACTGATGCTATTCCGAAAAACTGATTTTCGTACTGAATAGGTTTTCTTAAATTTCTGACTCTATAAAAAACAAATTAAAGCATATTACAAGGTTTTATTTTATCCTGGGTTATGCTCAATGGTGTAATAAATAAATCGTGTATTATTGAAAATTAATCACCATATCATATCCTCTGTGATTGTTCTGAGACTATCGTTTGTTTTGGTCCGCTGCATAAGAACAAAGTTGAAACCACGTGTACAGTTCCCACTGTGTTCTGTTGCTGCAGGTGGCTCTGGCATGCCACTACCGCATAGCAGTGAATAACAAATCTACGCTGGGCCTGCCTGAGGTGATGCTGGGACTGCTACCGGGAGGTGGAGGAACGCAGAGACTCCCACGACTGGTGAGTACGCTTCATTCCTGCATGAATATTTATCAGGTGAATACTTGTTGCTTAGTTCGTCCCAGTGCCACATGTAGAATCTCGTTTGAATAATCTCGATTTGTTAAATTTCGTTCGTCGTTGTAGATTGCATTACCCGATGCGATGGACATGATGCTAACAGGCAAAAACATTCGTGCGGCGAAGGCTAAGAAAATGGGATTGGTCGACATGGTAGTTGCACCACTAGGTAATGGACATTCTGATTGATGTCACGTAATTTAATTAGTGTTACTATTTACATTCCCCGTTGTATTGGTACTCGTCTTGACTAAATCTGAAGGCTATCTTAGCTATTGGGTCTGATGGTTGACAACCTGAATGGAGGCTAAAATTCAAAATTTGAAAACAGATATTTCACCTTATTTCGCGAGTGTCCTTCTAAATGTTTCGTGGCAACCATAATTTTTCATCTAATTTGGCAATCTCACCAAAAGGGCTAGCACACCTATAATTCACACACTGCTTAACATTTATACCAAAAAAACGGGTGCTCGACGTAAGTCACGCGGATGAAACCCCTGGCCGTTGTTTTCGCAGGGCCGGGAGTGAAGACTGCGGATGAGAGGAACATGGAGTATCTGGAGGAGGTAGCCGTGCAGGTGGCCCGCGGGCTGGCCGACGGCAGTGTGTCCAAAGTGAGGACGAAGAACCTCATGCGCAGTACGTAGACGACAGTAGACAGACGATAGTTGCAGGAAGAAATACGGGAGAATTAGTCGCACCAGCGATAGATGTGTGCAGTGCCGTTTACCGCACACAGTTCTACCGTTAGGCCTAAAAAAAAAAAGATGCGTTTCCGAGAACCCGACCCTACCTAGTGGCCGACCATTTTTTTTTCTCCATTTTCAAAAAAAATATAAAAATTTATCAAAAAAATAAAAATAAATCAATCAATTCTCAAAAATCAATTATCAATCAAAAAATAAATCATAAACTCCTAGAATATGGTACTCACCTCACCTCTGAACACTTGACATTTTCAGATTTTTTTTTTTAAAAAAAAAAA